TATTTTTAATTAATCATAAGTTTCAAGAAGCACACACAAGGACTGACACACACAGACTGATACACACACACACACACACACACACCTTTGTGCAGCTCATTTCATTTGGAACCCATCCAAGTTGCTGAACTTTGTGTAATTCAATGCCTTTGCTGTCTCTGGGTTTTGTGCTTGTAGCGGCATCGTTGGCGTCTATTAATTAAATTAAAAAGTTCACAGGCAAACTCCTCAACGTAGTTGCCATCGTTGTCGTCATCGTTATTATTTTCGATGTTGTTGTTGGCCCCCCTGAAAACTTCAGGAGTTCTTAAAACTATGCGCAGACATGCAAAATTATCATGCGATGCGGCAGCCATTACAGTTCTGAGAGGACTAATAGCCCGCACAGTTTGCGAGCAATTGTGAAATTAAAAGCAAAAGCTAATAGAGTTGATTTTAGTAATATTCTATATAAGTGTTAGCTTATTAGCAAATTCAATTTAAGGTCGTACAGTTTGGCATTCACTGGGGGCTTTGACATGCACTCGGTATTTTATAAATTGTCTTTGCAATTATGCAAATGGCTTTTAACAATTAAGTAACCATGTTAAAACACTGTCTGAACCACTGATTCAATTGAACCACCTCTCCACACCCACTCTTCCACTCTGTCCCGCACTTGATGTTGTTTTTGTATACCCTTGACGAAGGTACTTAAGCTTAGGCTGCAGTTGTGTAACATTTTAAATATGCCTGATATTCTATATATTTTTGCTAGGCAATCGGATACTATGAGCAATCGAATTCTTGTATAGTATATCAATTATATTCACTTTAGCAACTAGTCTGCAAGATTATCTGATAGTCGACATGGTGTATAAGCCTTTTATATCGTGTTTTTTTTTTATTTTGCCTGCACATTTCTCGCAACAATTATGCATATTTACAAATGTTAATTGCCATCGGGCAGAACATTGTTGTATTACACGTGTAAGTCACTGGCAACAGCAGACACGCCCATGCCAATTGTGCGCCCCTATCTGTCAATTAACAGCATTATTGACTCTCGACTCCTGCTCTGACCAACCGTCACTCATTCAGCCAGTCAACCAATGAGCCAAACAAAGCCAGCGCAACCAACTTGCCGGCACTTTGAAATGCTAATGAAATTGGCTTTTAAAACCAAACGAATCGAATGGAGTGTGCTATAAAGTGGATGGCTGGAAAATGTATAAAAATACAATTTCAGCGACTGGCTGACTTTCATCAAAAGTCCCTGTGAATGTTCTCCCTTCGGCTGCTTAATTGATAAATTGATTAAATTGCATGGCTTAATTGCATGGCAATGTGACATTGTCTTTCGTCAGAAATGCCAACCACATGACATCAGCGACAGTAGTAGCAAGAACAAAACGTGAGTTTTCCCATTTAATTTTGGTATCCTTTCGTTGCCTTCTCCTTATGCGGTAAATTGCATTTGCTTTGTTCGCCTTCATTTTGGTCAAATGCTCGTTAATGCGACTTATTTGTCAGCAAATTTCAAATCACCTCTCAGTTTGCAGCTCGCAATTCTCTGTTCTATATTCTCTGCTCTTTGCCCTGCAGTGATCCGATTTGATTGAATTGCTTTGTCTGGACAGCTCCTCCTCCTACTCCTCTTTCTCCATCGCCTCAAATCAAACCCTCGACACTTTTAACTCAATCGCCAGCGGGTAGCTGTTGGCCAACCAACTGATTTCGCCATTGTCTTTTTCAGTTACAGCTTACGACATACATATATATGTTTGAGCTGAGCATGTGCGCTTTTGCGATCTATTTTGGGATTAGATACAAGTACTAAGTGCTTTAAATGTTGCAATCTTACAAATACATCGACTTAGTTTCTGGGCGATTCTTAAAAGGAAATTGAGATTCCGACATTAATACAAATGCAAATGGATATCTTTACATTTATATTCATTACCATTATCTGCCTAAGCTGCGTTGTTCATAAAACTTTTACGCAAGGTTTAATGGAAGTCCCAGCTACTTTAAATCATATACTAAAAGGTTCGTCAATCACAATTCTACTGCTACCAAAGTCAGTGACTAATCACATAAAACCCTACGCTGTCCACTTCCAAACATAGACAATCTGTTCGATACTCAGTTTTATAGAGCATTTTGCATTATCTATATAAGTGTTGCAGGATTATGGCTGCTCAACATACTCTCTCTCTCTCTCTCTCTCTATCTCTCTTCCTCTCTCTCTTTTGCATTTGTACAACTTTGTGGGTTTGTCGTTAACTACCCGTTAAGTCCAAGAGAATCCCGAATGAAAATGCGAACAATAAAACTTTAGCCAGCGACTAAAGCGCATTAAAACTGCCGACTGACTGTTTACGAGAATGGTCTCCTTTTGGAGAACATTGGTCACTGCCCAGTTACATACATACATACATACACACATACATAGATTGCATTTGTTCAATGATTTGCCCTTTTTTTCAGTTTGTCAGTTTGTGTTTTTGGGTTTTCTATTTTTGGTTGTTCTTTTGTGCGGTTTTGCTTTGATTTAATTTTGCTTTTACTGTCGGTTGTTTGTCATTGTTGGGCACAAAGTATTCCCTCCAGCCAATGTCTGCACCCAATTTGGGAGCTTTGTTCAATTGGCTTTGCTCCTGCTGTCTCTGTGCATCCTCTGTATTCCATCACTCGTCATTCGTCAGCAAAATAAATCACCTAAATGGAGGGGGGGGGGGGGGGGTAGGCTGTGACTTTAAAAAATGTGTGTGGTCTTGTTCCTGCTCAAGCACAAATTTGTTGGTGTTGCTGCACAAAAGTAGGCAACCATTTCAAGCCTGAGCCTAAAGTACAGCCTGCAATTGGCATTGACTTAACTGACTGAGTGAGAGGGGCTTATTTATAAATTGCTTGAAATTAAATGATAAAACCATATGTAGGATGCTTAAATAATACTGACATGAAAATTGAATTCTAAACTTTTTAAAATTATTGTTGCAAACTCAGTTCAAAATGTGAAAAATTACTTGTCGCGTACTACAGTCAGTGAAAAGTTTGCTATTATTATGACATTCATGGCAATCTGAGTTTATTACCGCTTACTTATCTTATATCTAGTTTTATAGCTAATTTAATTCACAATTTCAACTGCAGAGCTTAAAGCACGACATTCCTAAACAGTTGTGGGTTGTCATCGCATAAGAATATCACTTGATGGTTGATGCCATTAACCCACAGCTTTTTGTACTCCAGCGAGACGAGTTGTATTAGTACATGCCAAACATATTTTATTGATTACATTTGCTGCTCCCCCAAGTTCTACAGCATCCTCAACGAAGGCACCGCCCCGCCCTTTTGTAACTGCGTGTTTTTGCACAAGTTTGTGAGATTTTCGTTCGGTGGCAACCCCAAAAAATCAAATCGCAGCAGCGAAGCTGAAGTTCAGCAGTGCCACATTTAGTGGAATTGCATTTCTGTGGTCTGTATAGTGTATGAGTGCCATTGTGTGCGTGTGTGTATGTGTGTGTGTGTGTGTGTGGGACATGACATGAGTTATATAAGCAAATAAATTGCTTATTTGTAGCGACAATTTGCGGTAATTTTGTGATTTGTGCTTTGGTCTACAATCTGCAAATGTGGCTGCTGACATCATCTGTGGCTCTGCGGCTCTGTGGCTCTGTGTGCTGAGAACTCAGGGTTGTTGCCATTGCGCTCCCCTGGGTGGGGTCCTTTTGGCTATTAATTAAACATTCACATATGCTGTGTACATATTTGCTGTCCTCGCCATAATTCATAAAAGTCAGGAAGCGAATTTCGTCGCTTCAGGTCCCCTCCCTTTATGTGTCTCTCTCTCTCTTTTCAATTGGTGCTCGTCTTTTGATTACAGTTTATTGACTGCCTATTCAAAAGCCCCAGGCACTAAATGTGTAATCCTTTTTGCGCTTGCCATTTGCATACAGCACCAACCATATACTACTACGTGTATGTCAGAGTCCTCTCAGCCAGCCCTCGTCCTGTATGCATATCGTTAGCAAATTGCAGGCTCAAAAAGGCAACCCAGTTCTGTCCAACATACAAAAAAAAAAAAAAAACAAGGAGAAAAACTCCAGGCGGGCCCAAAAGGACAAGCGCGATATATATGTGAGTGTGTGTGTTTATATGATGTAAGCTAATACCCAGCCAATTTCCGTTGGCGGCTGCTACGTTTCAGCTTTTTTATATGCGCCCAGGTAACATGGCCAACTCTTCTTCTTGTTTTCTTTTTGACTGTCCTGGGGCGATATTCGAGCCGTTCGTATTTCCGTTTTGGAAATTAGAAGGCGCGCCTTGTTTTGTTGTCCTCCCCGCGTTACGTTTGTTCAAATTTGTACAAAAGCTTAGCTACATTTTTATTTCCACTCAACTTATTTGCATATTCGACACATTCGAAATTGCCCGGCTACGTTTACGAGCTGTGACTATGAAGCTTTTTTTTTTATTTTCAGGGGCGCAGCTGTGTGCTTTTTTGTCCTTTGGGGATTGAGCAGCATTAAGCCTTTAAGCATTTTTGGAAAATAATTTTAAAATTGACATTAACTTTTGCGGGGTCCACAACTGGACACCTCGAGGTGTCCAAATGAAGCCATTAGCAGTCAAAGTCTGTAGCCCAAACAGCTCACAAAACCCCATCAATTGACTTGTGAACGGGCCCCAAACCGCATCCTTGCGGCTCACACCAGTTTCTGGCATATTGGCCTACAAACAAAACCCGACAGCACAAAGGCGTTGATTGGTATGATACCCCTTCGACAAACCCCAGCCCCGGTCCAAGCTCAAAAGTGAAATGTGGCCAAGTTGCTTTGGGACTTCTTGCCACTTGACATTAAGTTGCTGGCCATATGAAATAACTCGATTTTGGGCTTGAAAGTTTTAAGTGCTGAACGATAATTGATTTTGCATAAAAGCCAATTAGCAAATGTAATAGCAAGATGGCCAACAAAAGTATATTAATTGTTTTTCATGTTGTTATATCTTTGCAGCCATTTCCCGCGAGGATGGCGATGACTCCACACATCATCATCACCATCATCATAATCATCATCGCGGCGGTGGCGCCCATCATAATCACGGTAATAAAGTTCCATTCAATGGCTACAATTCGGAGGAGTATCTGGATCGCCTCGAGCCCAATGGCAATATACCCGCTGACAAAACAAATTGCAGATATGGCGGTAAGTTTTAAGCACAAAATTAATAATCATAAGTGATATTATAGCTAAGAACTTGACTTATTAGCTATGTAAGTTAAGAGCTCTACTAAAAATTGATAAAAGTAATGTTTACGGCTACTTAATATATCTCATAAGTTTTCTAAATACCTTTTGCTAAATTTCATAAATTCAATTTATACAATGCCTTAGCTTTAATTATATTAAAGTGATTAATCTTGATGTCAATTCTCGCTTGGCTAGATTCGAGAAATTATATTCTTTGATCGATTAGCTAAGCTTATTTCACACCAAAAACATTGCATAATTTCTTATCTGTCGCTTGCAATTTGGCGAAAAATGTTCGCGAGAGAAGTGATTCCCAGAAATGTTGTTTTTTTTTTTTAGCAGGGCACAACCTTAAGTGAACTCATTCATAAAGATTTGCACAATTTATTGCTTCGCTTTCGCAATAATCTCTCATTGAAGAGTGCAGGGCTGCCTCGTGCCACAAAACTAATTTAATGATACGAGTATTTCGAGCGCTTTACTCCCCACAGACTGTCGTAATTTATTCCTGGCAAGTTGTTGGTCTCCTTGTTGTTGTCGCTGTTGCTGTATTTAGCTAATATCTGGAATGGCAGAGCCGCGTATCTAATTATGGTAGGGCATTGTCTCTCCCCAAGTGGCATATAGATAAACAATTCTGCTCAGCATTTCACTTGCTCGATTTATTCCTGTTCGTCTCCATATTTTCTTGTTGTCGTCATTTATCAAATTTTTGTCTCATTTAGCAGCGTTTCACAATCTTTCGCTTTGGCGCTCAATTTGTCTACATATTTCTTTTCCTGGGGTTGTTTGCTGTTTTGTTTATCTGCTTAATTTTGTCATTTAAAGGCGTACTTAAATTGCTTATCAGATCATAACGCTGTTGTTAATCCGCTTCAATTCCAATGCGTTGCTCCTTTTATATCCTTCATTTTATTGTCATAATTGTAAATTGCAATTTTATGCAAACAATGGCAGTTCTCGAGACTTTATGCAGAGTCGTCTAGGACAGACTTCAGACCCGTTGACATTACCGATAAGGCAGATGATGATAATGATGATGATGATGATGATGCTGTTGATGATGATGATGAGAAGGACGAAGACTTTCTGTGTATACTTGTAATAGCCTCATTTGTTGCTGATGCTGTTGTTGCCTCAATTGTTCCATGTACTTGAAGCTGTTGCTCTTGTCATTGTCCTTGCAAAGCGGGGCACTCAACTCGCCCTAGCCCTCGGCCTCGACCTCGTCCTCGTCCTCACCATCTCTTTTCTTATCTTTAGCTCTATGGTTCGGTGTCTCTGTTTGTCTCGCCTTGCCGCTGCTTGCATCTAGGCATTTCGGAATCGGCTCATAAAGCAACGGAAATGAAAATATTAACAAGCAAATGCACAACAGCAGCAGTAGCAACAGCAACAGCAGCAGCAGCAGCAGCAACATCATCAACAGCAACGCCCCACGGACAACAAGAACAACAGCAGCAACAGCAATATCAACTGAGAATTATTCATAGTTAAATGGAAACTCTGTACATTCTTCATAGAGCCCATTGTCTTTTTGACCTCCTCCCTCCGTCCACTCCTGTCTCCGTTGCACTTCATGCCATTCTATGCCATTGCATGGCACGTGAGCTACGTGCATTGCCAAGGTCCTGGTTCTGCCCCAAAGTTATATTGCACCAACGATGTATCACTCTTGGCTTATTCTCAACGCCATCTGGCATGTTTGCTTATTGCATTTGCGAGGTGCGCTGCTGGGATTACCTGCCGAGGTGTAAATGAATGTGACTGAAACTTTTTGCCAGAGAATGAAATGGAGTCTGTTGCATGTCAAGCTAAAGTTGACTAAGCTTTGCAATGGTTTATTAATACTGTTTCGCTTTGTAGTCTCCATATAAATGTGCATTGCCTTCTTTTAAAATAACAAACTTTCTATAAAATGGAGTAAACTGCATTAGCCGTAGACAACTTTTTCAATTTCACGCAAATAAACGTCGTTTAACTACAAATTTAAGTTATATCTATTCTGTTCAACTCATTATACATTTAAATTCAATATTATATTTCCTTCTCTCCCCATTTCCTGACTTTTGATTGATAGTTTTGTTCTGCTTAGTCTTCAATTTAATTCGTTCTCTCGTATGCTGCTGTGTTCAATAAACTTTTCTCAAGCAACCCAACAACAGTTCAGTTATCATAAAGTTATGTAACGCACAATAAATTACACACTTTGAAAGCACATTCACCCACTCAACTAGACCAAGAGCTCCCCACCCAAACCCAACCTCCTATCACCCACTTTTAGTTCCACGACCAAAAGCAATTTCAGTTTTTCATGTGGCTGCTTCCGTTGGAGCTGCTTCTGCTTCGCTTGTTGTTGCTGTTGCTGTTGTTGCTATTGTTGTTGTTGTAGCTGTTCTGATTATATGATTTATAAGTTATCTTCAACTCGACAATGCTGTTGTTCGCCATTAGAGGGAGTGGCATGGCATTGGTTGGGTGGCAGGGCAGACATTTGCCAGGATACGCGCAATTTATTCTCAAAGTCGGCAGCCTAACAAAGATTATGGTTTATATGCGCAAATTATGCGTTGCCAAAAACCTTAACAATTCGCCCAGCACCGTAGCTTTAAAAGGTCTTTGGCTTTTATTAGGCCATTACAAAAGTTGTGCCCTGTTACAACAAAACAACAAAACAAAAAAAAAAAAGCGAAAATCTTGTAAATTGCTTAAAAAACATATTTGGCAAATTCGCATTACACATTTGACAAACTGCCGCAGCAGCGACATTTTCTTGTAAATCATGTTCAACAATTATTCACAAAACATGCAATTATGAGTATTTAATTTTCGCCTCTTAATGGCATATTGTGTGCAACATTTGGGCACTAAAACATCGCTTCTTTCTGCTACTCTGCGTAATGCCTGCCCCCATCTGCCACCGTTTGTGTTCGCAGAGTTATTTGCCTGCGATTTCCCACAAGTTTATTTGCACGCGCGACTAAATCCTTTTAACGCTTTATTCGGCTTTTGATGCGACCGTGACTTCTCCTCAAGCTTTTGTTTATTTTCTCTTGTAATACGCCTGCAAAGGGTATTTGGACTATTTAATGAAATATGCAACCCTTTGAGAATAAGAATTAAGTCAAGTATACAATAAGAATATCAGTCTCCTTCGACTACTTGTCTTATATATTATAATTAAGATTAAGATCCGACTTTTCTCACGCTTGCCAAGAGTATCCCATTGATATCTTTCGTTGTTGCCTCAGTTTGTTTTAACTTTTCTAATTAGTTTTCCCAATTATGCATAGATTTGGCTGATTCAGATCCGAATTTTCTAAGAGTATCTCAACTTCGTCATTTTGCTGTCATCTTTTGTTTGCCCTCACTTTTAGCTTCATCGCATCTTTTGCTTTCTTCTTCTGCCCACGCACAGGGCTTTTTCACAACCGAGCCTGCTGCCAGGACTCGCTGGTTGTCTATTGTATTTATTTTTTTTTTGGGGCAACGCTTTTACTCCCTTGTCGCCTGTCTGTGATTTAAATTTATTGGCAAAATACTTTAAGTGATTTTTTTTTCTTTGCTGTTTTTTTTCTTGGCTTCATTGCTTGGTGTTTTTGGGGGGTGGCATTTGTCTATCTGTGCGCAACCCTTTGACAATTTTTTTTGAAGGGGTTTGTTTTTGTCGTGTATCTTTCGACCATTATTCGGGCTAAAGAAGTGCCGTCGCCTTGCGGTTAGACAGCTCTTCTTGTGGTTTACAGCTCCCCCCATCAAATTCGTTGCAGTTTATTAACGAAGCAAAAACATGTCGCTTTTCCGCATTTGTGTGCTTCCGCCTTCGCCTCGAGCTTTGGTTTTTTTTGTTTTTAAATGTTGTGCGGCGAATTTTAATGATTTGAATGCAGGGAAGGGTTTTTTGTTTTGTGTGGGTTTGCTTTGCCTCTGTGCAGATATTTGGTAGATGTCATCTCGCGTGAGACATGCCCTTTTCTTTTTTCTTTTTACTTTTTACTTTTTACTTTTTACTTGGCCGGCTAATGAAGCGACTTATGCATTGACATGGAAAATTTGCGGCTTTAATTTTTTGTCGCTCTTTGCGAGCATCTTTTTCGGTTTTTTTTAAGGTTGTCATGCAGCATTTGCATAAGGCTGTTTTTTATGAAGGAGATCAAAAAGCGGAAGACTTAAACCTTTGTGAATTGTTTAAGAAGCGAAAAATTAATGTAAATTACAGCATATTCAAAAGAAATCTGCAGATATAGATTGCTACCTGACATTATTCTACATTCAAATAAAACTGAGAGGCCCTTCGGTTATCACAACAATTTTAGTAGTATTCAAAATTGAACAATTATTACACTTAAAGACTTCAAGAAACTAAAGCCAAAGTAATTTTCATGCTAGTGATTTCTAGCTGCTGTCAGCGAAAATTCAACACAACTGTCACAAGAACAGTAGATAAATATGAATAATGCTATGTAGTACAAGCTTAGCTCACAATATATAATGAGTAATGAGATCATTTTCCTCAGCTTCCCTCGTTCCGCGCCAATGTAATCAATTCTCTTTGAAAACTTTGTCCACACGCAACTAATGCAAAGTTCACAATAGCTGCTCCTCCCTTATCCTTCCAACACGCCCCATAATTTTAAAGTTGCTTTTGCCGGCAGCCAATTGTCGGGCAATGTGCTTTCCCCAAGATTTTCCAGCGCCCAGAAGAAAATTGTAAAACTGTCCAAAAATGAATTTTTTCGATTTTTTTTTTCTTGACAATTCGCCGCAGTTTTGCATACTAAGCTCATTATGTTGAGACGCCCTAGAATAAGAAGCTGAGAAACGCTGAAAAGACGAAGAACTCGTTGCCCTTTTTTTTATATGTATTTTATTTCCTACTTGCCGGCGGGGGTTGTAAACTTTTTAATAGTTACCCAAAAAAGAGAGCCAAGTAAGACAATTTGACGCGCATTTTA